AGGTCCATCATGTTTCTCCCACCGTAATGGAGCTTTCTGTTTCTGTTTCTCTTTCCAGGATGCCGCTAACCTACAGATCGACAATGACCCTGAATGAACAGCCTTCAGACTCTGCTCCGAGCCCAAGCACCTCACACTCCCTTAGATCCTTCTCTCATTCCCTGAAGGTCCCCCCAGTGGCCAGCGGGGGGCGCCGCAGTCCCCAACAAGCAGGAAACCTCAACCTTAGCAGACGAGCGCGTGATGAGAGAGGCGGGGAAGGAGGGCTGGCCCGCCACTCTCCTTCCCCGCTGCCTCCTCTCCTCACCTCCCACTCCTCCTCCGACCTCCTGCGACTGTGCAACGGGAAACCGCTGCGGCCGGCCAAGTCCAGCAGCTCCTCGGCTCCGCCCCTTCCTCCCAAGCCCACCTCCCTCCCTCCTGCGCTGTCCTTGTCTCTGCCACGGCCGCGTCCACCGTTGTCCCCTTCCCCCTGTGACAACACCACCCCCCAGTCGCTGCCCTGTGAGACCGGGGGCCCTGCTGGTGGATCGGCCGAGTTGAACATTGATCTGGAGCAGGGATCCAACGTCACTCGCCGCTCCTCACTGCACAGATCCAAGTCAGACCTGTCAGACCGGTATGCGCGGGCCGGCGCCGACGTGGAGCGCTTTTTTAACTACTGCGGCCTCGACCCAGAGGAGCTGGAGGCGGTGGGTCCGGAGAACTTTGCCAGGGCCAACTCTGACATCATCAGCCTGAACTTTCGATCCGCTTCTATGATCTCCTCTGACTGCGATCAGTCGCGGCGATCCTCCAACGATGCCGTATCAGAGGAGGAAGAGGTGGAGGAAGAGGAGGATGCCGGTGAGCGCGTCCCCTACGGCATCTCAGCTGTGGAGCGAAATGCACGAGTGATTAAATGGCTTTATAGCATCAAACAAGCCCGAGAATCTCAGAAGGTCTCCCATGTTTAGGTCCAGCATCAATGCGGAGTGAAGATACTGTGAACTGGAGCCTATCGGACCCGCGGCTCTGATCCTGGATGGTCGTTTTCAGGCTGCTTTAGACGCTGAGAGAACCAGAACCATTAAGTTCTAAGAATGAAGGAAGGAGGCGATCAACTGATCCTCTCAACTAAAAGATGTGGGGCGCCAGCAGATAACGAAGAATCATTTAAAACCAGATTAAAAGAAAAAATACAAACATGAAAAGATCCAGAGAATAATACTTGTTCTCTGGACTCCGGACTCAGTCGGTTCCTGGTGACCCAAACCAGAACGGTCCACCGTCTAAAGGTGGCTAAGACTCACTTTGGACTTAATGGTTTCCTTTCTGTTGGACAAATTTTCATGAAATGTTCCTTTAACTCGCAGAAACCTGGAGTCAGTAAATATATGAACCAGTCCAACAAACGATCAGTAAAGCAGGTTTTTTTTGCACCCATTCAGTTTTTCCTTTAAGCAGTGTAGCCAGCAGAGACTCCTCTGGGTCCTGGACTCAGAGCATTGGTGTACGGAGCTGTCCTCCTGTCCTCCCACACGTCCATCTCTGTCTGACCTTAGCGAGTTAGCATCAGTGTTACCGGAGGTAAGTTAGCATCAGTGAGTTTACGTCACTGAGCTAGCGTCACAAAGTTAGCATCGTTTAGATGTGAAGTTTTATAATGAAGTATTTTTTTACCCAAACCTGTGAATGAAGGAAAAACTTCCCTGTAGATGGAAATGATTTTATTTGGGAAGAAAACAAATCTAGACAGGAAATGCTCTGAATCCCCCCCCCCCTCCCTCCATGCTAACTACCAACATCTGTAAGCAAACAAACAGTCTCCATTAAATGCATACCAGTTGCTGTTTGACTGTGTGCCGTTTATTCTCTCTGCAAAGAGCAGCTGGATCTGCTCCTTAAAGGAATAGTACACCCAAAACATGATTAGCCTTCATTTTCTACTCACCCCCATGCTGAACAACACTCTGGAGTACTTTTTTGATATCTCAAATGCATCTGGAGATCTGGGAGGCTTCTTGCTGTCTGCTGACATTCAAATAATGGAGGTCTATGGC